GATAGATAGATAGATAGATAGATAGATAGATAGATAGATAGATAGATAGATAGATAGATAGATAGATAGATAGATAGATAGATAGATAGATAGATAGATAGATAGATAGATAGATAGATTTTTCAATGTATTTTAAAAGAAGTACATTGTTAGCTTTGAGTCTAAAAGGAATTCCAGGGGCAGAGAAGTATGCCCACCAGACCTCAGAAGTAACTAGTTACAAACAGCACTGTCACACGGAACTAGTTTTATATTTCAGTAACAGCACTGTAACTAGAAGCATCCAAGTGACTTTCCAGTGCAATGAATAATCCCATGGAACTTTTAAAGTGCCTCTTAGAGCATTTCCCCAGAATCTCTTAGAGGTTTTATGACCCTATTTACTTTCTTCCTGTCATTTTCAGACAGAGATAACAATTAATACTGCTGCAATGCAAAGAACCTCTTTTGGTCTACTGAGGAATTAAGAGCCATTAGCTATACAAAATACCTGTTTTTGGTGAAGACAGCTATTGCTAGAAGTGGGTTGTTGGTATGGAAGTACACCATGGCTTGCATTCGGAGGGGGGGTGCATTATGGACAGCCCCAAGTCTGCTGCTTGCGATCCTTCAGCTGATGGGGGGATCATGCCTGGGGTAAACAAGCCCAAAAGTGGAAGGTACTCCCTCTCGCACAACTGCTCACCTGTTGGAGTTGCCTGACTTCTTCCTGTTTCTTCTGCAAGGCCTGCAGCGCTTTCTCATGTTCGAGCTCCAGATGCTGCCTTCGTTCCGCGACATCTCTCATGTGCTGGAAAAGAAGGACACCGGGTGTGCTTTAAAGCAGAGTTGTTTCCCAAAATAACAGCAGTTCCTAACTTTTGGACACCAGAGTCTTGGAAGCCATTGGGAAACGGATCGGAGATAAGAAGCTAGTGAAAGTGAAATAGATCAGAGAGAGAGAAAAACAACAGGTAGAATGTGAAACGGATCAGAGATATGAAGTCATGGAAATGCGAAATAAATTGGAGATAAGAAGCCAGTGAAACGTGAAATGGATCGGAGATAAAAAGCCAGTGAAATGCAAAATAAATTGGAGATAAGAAGCCAGTGAAACGTGAAATGGATCAGAGATAAAAAGCCAGTGAAATGTGAAATGGATCGGAGATAAGAAGTCAGTGAAAGTGAAATAGATCAGAGATAAAAAGCAGGTAGAATGTGAAATGGATTGGAGATAAGAAGTCAGTGAAAGTGAAATAGATCAGAGATAAAAAGCAGGTAGAGTATGAAATGGATCAAAGATAAGAAGCCAGTGAAATGTGAAATGGATCAGAGAGAAAAAGCAGGTAGAGTGTGAAATGGATCGGAGATAAGAAGTCACTGAAAGTGAAATAGATCAGGGATAAAAAGCAGGTAGAATGTAAAATGGATTGGAGATAAGAAGTCAGTGAAAGTGAAATAGATCAGAGATAAAAAGCAGGTAGAGTGTGAAATGGATTGGAGTAAGAAGTCAGTAAAAGTGAAATAGATCAGAGATAAAAAGCAGGTAGAGTGTGAAATGGATCAAAGATAAGAAGCCAGTGAAATGTGAAATAGATCAGAGATAAAAAGCAGGTAGAGTGTGAAATGGATCAAAGATAAGAGGCCAGTGAAATGTGAAATGGATCGGAAATAAGAAAGTTTGGAAAAATGAACAGGACAGAGGTGCTTTACACCATGACTATTCACCTGGGCAGCTAACAGCTACTCATGAACAAGGCGCTGGGGTTGCATTCCTGGATCCATACGCGATCCCTAATCAAGTGCATGGCCAGGAATGCAACCAGCTCTTCGTCAAGTTGTTGCCAAAACGTAAGCAATTTCCTTTCTGCAAGTGTAAATTGACAAGAGGATTCTAGCCGGTAAATCCTGGGGTTATTACAAACCACCGCTCTTCCAGAAAAATACTTTAACAATACCTCTCTCCCTGCATGCAGCACCATCTGGTTTTCTGCATCTTCTCAATTTTAACCCTGGGCTTTTTGATAGTTCTTTTGTTTTAATCATTATCAGCACAAACCCCCATGAAAGGGGTTTTACATATGCAGTATGTATGTTATTTCTTTGTGTTGCAACTTAACCATTTCTTCTCAGCACAAACCCCCATGAAAGGGGTTTTACGTACGTATGCAGTATATATGTTATTTCCTTGTGTTGCAACTTAACAATTTCTTCTAAAGCATGTAAAAATGTTAATAGATAAATAGGTACCACCTCGATGGGAAGGTAACAGTGTTCTGTGTCTAAGTCGCACTGGCCACGTGACCACGGAAGATTGTCTTTGGACTAACGCTGGCTCTACGGCTTGGAGATGGGGATGAGCACCGTGCCCTAGAGTCGTACACGACTGGACTAAATGTCAAGGGGAACCTTTATCTTTTCATAGAGAACCTCCCTAACATCATGCTGGCTTAATTTGCCAAAGGGGCTTAAGCAAAAATGCTTCTTTGCTCAGCAGAGAAAGGAGAGCTCGGTCAGTACCAGCCTAGGCTCCAGTGACAGGGAGTTCTCCAGTCTCCCAGCCCCGGCAGATGTAGCTACGAGGGTTGCAAACCTTCCCTCCAGTCAGCTAAAAAAGATGGTGCTACCAAAGGCTGCTTTTTCCCCCCATCAAACCTTCAGCGCTTGCCCGATGCTCTCCAGCCTGGTCTGCAGTTCCTGGGTTTTCTGGAGAGCAGAATCCCGTTCTTCGGTCACCACGGCCACCTGTAGCCTCAAGTCAGCATTCTGAGATTCAACCTGAGGGAAGAGAAATGGACCTGAGCAGCTCAGCTTGTGAGGAAAATTCCACTTGGGCAGAGGGAAAGAAATGGCACCTGAACTTCTCTAGATGCTGCTGCAAAGGAGCCCACCATGTTCTCTTCTGCGTGGCCTTTTCTGTGGACTGGCATGCACAAGGCCAGGGCTCGAATTCCCACTAGGCCATACAAACGCCTTGAGGGGGCCAGAGTTAGAACCGTTTCTTGAAATCTCAACTCCCTCAAAAAACGGGCCAGCCTCACTGTCAGTCCGAAGCAACTGGACGGCTCAGCTCCTAAACTTGTACTTCGGCATACCAATCGGCAGATGCAGATTTTATTGGAACCTCCCTCCTTAAGAGAAGGCAAAGGGTAGCAGACAAACCTGCTTTCAGCAGGACCTTAGGGTTTGCTATTGTACTGAAAGTGAGCTGCTTTGCAGGGTTGTTGTGCGTTCCCATGCTCGCACGACGCTTAGATTGGAATGGGCGGCGTGCATCCAGAACTGTTACCTTCTCTATCCATTCCACTTGTCCGTGTAGCGAAGCGTTCTCCTCAGACAGCCGGGCATTATCGCTTCTTACTTCCTGAAGTTGGATCTCCTATATTGGGAAATAAATAGCCAGACTTTCCTTTAACCTTTGAACTGCAGAGCCAGAAGGGACCCTCTGGGTCATCCAATCTAGTCCTGATCATGGAGGCACTGGTGGGGGAATCGAACTTCTAACCTCCGACTTCACAGCCCGAGATCTAACCAACTTTCCCTCCCTGGGAAATAAAGGAAAGTCCTTTCTGTCTGTAAAGGGTTTACATTCATGAATTCCAGGCAACAAGCCATGGTGTGAACAGGGATGGTGGCTTTTTTTTGCAAAAACAAAAAAAATGAGTTGACTGGGAGGGACGGGGTTGTGAGTTTTGTGCGTACCCTGTATGCTTTTTCCAAAAAGACTATGGGACACAGTAGATTACCTCCGGCTGTGACTAAAACAGGTTATCTCTTGGAACCTTACGATGGCTGGGATTGTCTCTGCTAACCAGCATTGGAAAGCTCAATGATAGCAACTCTGTTTTCTCTATCCCATATTACTCTCTTGTATTCCCACAACCCTCAGCCCTCCTCGAAGATCAAACTTTTCGCTTGAATAGCACATTCTTTGCATCTGAAACAGCGGGTTCTTGCCCAGTAAACTCGTAATAATATAAATCTGTCGCTTTTAAGGAGCCCACAAGAAGTGCATTTCTTCTTGCCCTCTTTATTTATTTATTAGTTATTTAAAATATCTGTTCCCCACCTTTCTTCTAAAAGCATCCAAGGTGGCTCACAGAATTGAAAAATAAAGAGCTTAACAATATATGATTCAGAGAGGGTGCCTCTCCTTTCTTAGGGGGAGCATGCCTCTGATTCCTGCCAAAGAGAAAATGGGGGGGACCCCTGTATCTAGAAGGTGGGGCTGGTGGGACCCCCAGAAGCGATGCGCAGGAGTCACTCACAAGCTCGGCATATCGCCTGTGTTTCTTCCTCACTTCATATTCAAGGTTTTCACATTGTTTTCGCTTCCTCCTGAGTTCGGACTCCTAATCGAAACAGAAAAGCAGGCAATGAAAGGATGGGACAATAGAACGAAAGAAAATATATCCCTTAATATAATTCAATTTTTATTTAGAATAAAATAGAATAAATTATATCTTATTTAAAACAATATATATATATATCACTTTATTTAATTTGATTTTTAATTTAAAATAAAATTACATAACTTACATCTTGTAGAAAACAAAATAGAATAAGACACATAATTTAATTTAATTTTTAATTTAAAATAACATATCTATTTAAAATGAAATATATTATATCTTAAATAAAATAAAATAAATTATATCTTAAATAAAATAAAATAGTCAAGACCACTTCTGCAAAGGGGCATCCCCATAGATTCCAAGTTGAAAAGTATTCAGCAGAACTTATGGCAAAGTTGATTCACCAAATCCACACTGAGTCAGTGGGTCAATAGGATATAAATGTTGTAAGGATGCCATGAAGCTAAACATACCCCCCCAACTCACCAGCTGCTGAATCTGATGTTTGATCTCTGGGGTGGTGGCAGTGACCCCCTTTTTTACAGAGAAGGAACTTTTGTCTCCAACCCGTCTTTGGGTCAAATGAAGTACTCCCAGAGCTGTCTGCAAAGGAGAAAAATCTCAGCTGGACTCAAGAGAAGAGTAGGGAGAAAAAAGAATGCCACAGATTTTGTGGCTCTTTGAATTTTGCCACAATGTCCAACGCATCCTTGATATCACACCACCCTGAACAGGGACTTTATTTTTTGAGACTTCATCTCCCACCAACTATTAAGGGAAGCTAATCCATTGAACTTCCAACAGCCTTGGGCAGAAAGAAGAATTACAGACAACCCGTCATTAAGAGAAGGAGTTCCTAAACTGCTGAAAGCATCTGAATGCATGGTTGCTTTTCTCATCTCAGATAATTTAGACACTTTATTCTTGGCCTTCTGGACTGAAACATGGGTGACCTTTGGGGTCCGATTCGTCAGACATTAAGGAGTATCTGAGTCATGTCTCTTCAACATGAACGTGCTTTCAGCTCTAATCATGGGCTGCCTATATTATCTATTTTGGAGCCGATGCTGAACAACAAGAAACCTTATAGCACCCCTGAAGATGGCAAATAAAACACTTAAAACTCTGTGGCTTTTGCGTCAAACTAAAATCACAACCCCTCCTGACTGCCATTTCTTTAACATCGTCTTGCATCTACAATTATTTGCAGATATGCTAAAATGATGCCCATCGGGGCTTCAGCCAAGATGGGGGCAACTGTTGAGTTGCCTGCTGGATTTTATTTTTCCCTCAGAAAAAATCTGGAAGACCAAGATTCTTCTACCCTCTTTTTCCTCTTTGCTTTCTTAAGGGTTGCTCTTTGTGAAACCTTAGAGTGACTTTTTCCAAAACAAAATTGAAAAGCTGCAAAGACCTTCCACGCCCATCCCGTATAAACCCAGGCCTTTAAAGTCACCTCTTCCTGCCATTTTGGAACCTCTCCAGAGATTAGGAGACCTGGAAGCGTCGAAAGCTTGCGCTCCTCTAGGGCCCGCCTTGGCCCAGCTGAATACTAGTATTTTAAAATATATTTTTCTGTATCTCATGTCAAACATCAGTCCAAATGGAGACCACAGCTATGAAAACAGGGTGTGGGGGACTTAAGCCAGCTCTGAAGGAACTAGAAAGGTTTCTTAATATAGGGTTGCCTATATTGAATGGGCAAAACCACATCCTAAATATTTTGGTATTCTTAGAAACTCTATTAGGGTTGTCATCAGAAGTGACCCTCAACCAGAGCCAAGATTATCCATGCAATTGTGTTCTTAATTATTATATATATTTGTGGAAATTGCACTTTGGTGCCTCCCTTGAATGTCCTAATTCTTATTTACTGCTGATTACTTACCCTGTTTCCCCTAAAATAAGACCTAACCTGAAAATAAGCCCTAGTATGATTTTTCAGGATGCTCGTCATATAAGTCCTACTCCAAAAATAAGCCCTAGTTAAGTGAAACCCTGCCCTCCACCCTTGTGCATCAGCCAGAAGAAGATGACAGGACTGTAAAATAAAATATCACTTGAAAATAAGCCCTAATGCATTTTTGGAGCAAAAATTAATATAAGACCCTGTCTTATTTTCGGGGAAACAGTGTAGCTTTTATCTATAACCACCCAGAATAGTCCTTTGGACGAATGGGGTGGTATAGTATAAATATGAGAAATAAATAACGGATCTGACAGGAAAGGGTCCTCCTACAGCCTGCACTCTGCACATGGTCAGGGCCATCCCATGGGGACTCAGCACGTCCCAGGGCTTTGAGGATCTGGGTGGGGGGAGAGATGTAGGACCCCACTGGCAGTTTCACTGTGGCCATGCACAGGAGACAGGAATACAACCCAGCCTTTATTCAGAGGAATTCCTCTTGCTGTTTGCACTCTGCACATGCTCAGGGGCACCTCACGAGGAGCGGGACAGATCCCAGAGCCTTGAGTGGCCAGCTCTGGAAGCCTGGGACAAGGAGATCCACAAGGCAGGCCTTCCTTGTCTTTGCGGAGGGGGGGGGCACAACTGGGTGGATCGCGGCTGCGCGCCTTCCTTCCTTCCTTGCGCCCCTGGCTCGATCGCACACACCCCGCCCCCTCTGCGCGCTCCGCCGCCCGCGGTGTGCGCAACCTGCGCGCCATCCCTTCCTACCTGCGGCCGGCGTTGGTTCGTCCCGTTTCAGCACCACGGAGAGCTCCGGGCGGGCGGGAGGAACCACTGCCGGACAGAGGCGGAGTCAGGAGCCGGCCTTCCTCCTCGGCCCCTCTGAGGCCAGCAATGGAACAGCCCGGCTGGGAAGGCGGGGATCGGGTCAGTCCTGGGAGGAGGAGGAGGAGGGAGGGGGAGGAAACCTTGCACCCAGGACCCGTGACTAGCATTCGCACGTGCTCCGGGCAACGCGCGGCCGCCCGATTGCGCGCGGGAATCCGCCCGCCCGGGGGGGGGGGGTCCTCCTTGGGTCCTACACAACCCAGCATCCCCCGATCAACATAACTGGGGGATGATGGAACCTGTCCTAGCCACTCAAAAGATTTCCAAGAGGTGACGTCGTACACCCCAAAACTAGAGCAACGGGGCCCTGTAGCCAAAACCCAAAAAGGGCCCTTTAAGAACAAGGAAGGGATTTATTTCGGCTTGGATTTGGGCGGATCGCAGGCTGTTAAGCTCGCGGGGGTCTCCCTCCGTTCGTCTGAAAAGGAGTTGTGTTGGCGTGGTTTGGTCTTCGTTACACACGCTGGGTGTGTGTGTGTGTGTGGAATTACTAATTGAATTACTTTGGCGATGCCTGTAACTGCTCTGGCTCTATGTGGACTAACGTGGTCTAACGCAGGGCTTAGATTTCGGGGCTCTGCTTCCAGGAAGGCGAGGCGAGCTCCCTAAAGTGAGAAAGGGTCAGGCAAACTATATATCCCATGATTCCGCACGACGCAGCCCAGGCGCATAAGGTGGGATCCGATCGCTGTTATGGGTAGCACTGGAAGTAAACTTAAGAGGGCGCCTGGTTCCTCCGGCAAGTGCAGGATCCTGGCAGAGAAACATGACACACGAGGCCTCTGACTTGCCTTTCCCTCTCTTGACAATCCACAGCCAGGCAACCCAGGTAGAAATGCGAAATCAAGAGCTCTGTGGCAGTTAAAAGACTGCACATTGAGGAGAGCAGAAATTTGAGTGGACTGCCATTCACTTCATCAGATGCAATGGTGTGTGCATATACAGTATATACTGTGGGGCCATCATATCCTTCATCAGATGCAATGGTGTGTGCATATATATACCATAGGGCCATCATATATGCTGGGGATTGGATCCAAGCCACCGTGGATACTGAAGACCGTGGATAACAGCAAATGCGATATACATTGCATGGTAAAAGAAAAGAAGAAACAGGGAAATAATTATGGTTACATGCATTACCAGAACTGGCTACTAGAGGGCACCAGAGCCCACGCTATGCATTCTTCACTAACAAGTATTTGTCTCTGGTTCCTTCTACTGGCTGGTTCTAGTAATACATGTAAAAAAAAATTTCTGGATTTAAAAAATACTTTTAATATTTTCACACTACAGATAAGGGAAACCATGGATACTGATAGTGGGGTCCTACTGTACCTTTGTACCTGGTCTAGTTTGTATGGGTACAACCCAAATTTTTGAAAATACACTTTTAAAAACTACATTTCTCAGAATCCTCTACCAGCAGCTATGACTAGTTTTTGTAGTCCAAAAAGCCAGCATATACATTGTCTCTACCGGAGGGGGGGGTTATCCATAAAAGCACTTTCACCATAAATGTGTTAATCCTATAAAGGATCCCACAACTCTTGATTCTTTCTACAACAATCTTGATGACACCAAGATTGTAAATTTAGGCCGGCAGGATTGTCTCCTATATTATAGCCCCCTCTAGTTTTGGGGGTTTCATCGCGCATGTCCTTCTCACCACATCTGAAGCTCCTTCGCCATCCACAAAGACACCGCGTGTTAAGGACTAGAAACTTGACTGTTGGCTTAATGCCAACCTGGAAATCCCACATTTCTGGACAAGAGAAATGCTTTACAGACATGATTAACCTCACCCCATTGCTGTCTCTTTTAACCACATCCTATGGCTTTGACTTTTATTTAGATCAGAAATAATATTTCATGATACCTTCTGAGCATGTACAAAGTGCACCGGAGAGCAAATGCAATTTGCCTTCACAAAGAGCAACGCAAGAAACCTAGCAAACAGCTGGACCCTCATGCGGGACTAATCCTGCTGGATTCCTGCCTCTCTTAGCAAACTTTTTTGTGCCTTGGGGCTGAGCACCCGTGGGTGGCCTCGCCCCCCTCTCCAGGTCAAGGAACTGGGCTCCTCAAGTTTCTCCAACACCCAAAGCAGAAAATTCAACAAGCAGCCTCTCTTAGAAATGAAATGAAAATGACAACGACCAAGATTTTATGAAACCAGGCCAAACGGTTTACCTTGCTTGCTGCCTCCGTGGCAGGGGACAGCTCTTCTCGAACCCGTGATCCCCTTGGCGGAGAAAAGCCATTCGGGCAGGTGGTGGCCCTGGAGGCCATGGGTGGCCCCAAACCCACTGAGGGAGCCCCGGAGGCATCTCTCGAACCCCGTCCACATGGAGAGCCCGTGGAAGCTTTGAAATTCTTCAGTGCTATTTGCCTTTGAAGCCGTAGGACCTCCTTCTGAGACTCCCGGAGGAGGTGATGGAAGTCCAGGAGAGGCGGGGAAATCTCCTGGAAAGATGCAAAAGAGCCCAGTCACTGGATCAAACAAATCTTAAGGTGGTGAATCAATGCATTCCTAGAGTTCCGTTCATCAATGCATTCCTCGGCCATATCTGCTTCAAACTGTGTAAGTAAAGGAAATCCTTCCCAAGCCGGGGGGGTGGGTGGGTTCATTTTTCATTACATTCCTTTTGTCTCAAACAGAAACCCTGCCTGCTTGTGAGGTTTTTACCTGGTCAAACCCCACCTTTACATCTCCAGTCCCGAAAAATTACACCCTGTGACTTCACATGCATCTCCTCCGCAGAAGTTTTAATGTTTGTTAATATTCCGTGACTTCCCGGAAACTAAGTTAATGGCCTAAATAGGCAGGCGGATGGGCTTGGAATTAGGATTTTTTTTAAAGGCCTTTTCAGGGGAGGAGATGACAAGCTGTAAAGACAACTCCTTATGCAGAAGCAGCCTCCACCATTAAAGGCACAGGAGCAGGGAGGTTAAATGAAACTGATGGCTCTAGTCCTCATGGGCTTGATCTAAGGCCAGGGTGGTTAAGCCAGATTCCTGAGACATGGAGACTCCCTGAGATGCTGCTTTTCTATGCTCAGGCACTTTGACTTTTGTTCGGGAGGGTGGTAGGTCTGTTTGTACTCTCACATAAAGCCAATGTAAAAAATATTATAGTCACTGGAGACCAAGACCACGGGCTTTGGGCAAATAATGAGGATTCTCTGGAAAAGACAATAATGTTGGGGAAGGTGGAAGGCAGCGGGAAAAGAGGAAGATCTAATACGAGATGGACTGATGCCCTAAAGGAAGCCACAAGCTTGAGTTTGCAAGAGCTGAGCAGGGCAGTTCGGGAGAGGACATTTCGGAGATGGCTCATTCATACGGTTGCCATCAGTCAGAAGTGACTTGATGGCATGTAACAATGACAAAAATATACGAACCTGGGAAAACCAAGGTCTAAAGGAGTCTGTCACTATGGAAGCTCAAATGACTAAAATTAGGTTGTCGTACTTCAGGTACATCATGAGAAGTCACTATGTGCTAGGAAAGACAGTAATTTGGGAGAAAGTGGGAGGTCATAGGAAAAGAGGAAGACCGAATGTGAGATGGAGAGACTCAATAAAGGAAGCCACCACCTTGAGTTTGCAAAACCTGAACAGGACCTTCCAGAGGTCATTCATCTGTAGGAGCACCCAAACGTCAGAAGCAGCTTGACGACAAGCCCCTTTCAGCATGTCCTTCCCAGACTCCAGCGCGTTCTAGAGCAAGCGTTCACCTTTCCGGATGTGATTTTGGCTTGCAGCTCCTGGCATTCCTGCTGCAGGGCCTTGATCTGCTTGTCTTTGGCCAGCAGGGCGGTGGCTTGATCCCGCAGGTCAGTGGCTCGCTGGCGGGCCAGTGCTTTCTTGCAGAGACCCGCGCACGAGCCCTTCATGACGACTGAGGCATTCACCTGCATCGGAGAAGGATTATTGAATCAATCAGCGTGAAGGCAGGCTGTAGAGCTTTCAAAGGCTCTTATGTTCATCAACGAGACAATTCATGGATTCTCCAGAGTGGCGAGCCTAGGGCCGGCGATCATTGAGAGACACAACAGGCAGATTCTTCTGAGCCTTTCTGCTGAGGCTTGTGTTCTAAAGCAAGCAAATAAGGTACCACGCTCCATGCAGACCCCTGATCTTGCTCATGCTAGTTGGACAGCAAATAAGGTACCACGCTCCATGCAGACCCATGATCTTGCTCATGCTAGTTGGACGCAAGCTCAGAGCAGGGACTCACACAAAGACCTGACAGGCAGATCCCTCTAAGAGTTGATCATCCTGACACATCTCTGCATCCAAGGTGGCTGCTCGCCCACCTAATGCAGGGGCTGCTTCACAAACGATCAGCCCCTGTTAGAAACTGAGGGGGAGGAGGAAAAAAAATTGAGCAATAGATCGCCCAGAGATGCAGCAGGTAACCTCAATGCCTCAATTGGGGAAAGGGTAGGTCTAACCACTACACTGCACAGCCTCGGTTCTCTATCCTGTTCACAAGATGCCAGAGCCGGCCGCGAGCGTGTGGCCCTTACCACTTTGAGGTTGGCTTCTTGAAGCTTCCTGGCTCTCTCCTCCAGGCGCTTGGCGATGATGGCCAGCTCAGCATTCTTCCGCTTGAGGTGTCTCACTTTCTCTTGCGTCTCCGGGAAGCAGGTCTTGCGCTGAGCGGCAAAGAAGAAAGAGCACCTCGTGAGCCCCCTTTGGACAACCCAGGGAGGCGCCCGCCGTTTGCCTGGCAGACAGAAAAACTCTCTGGCAATCACGTGGGCAGAAATCGCTGGCGGTGATGCCAACACGACTCCCCCCCCCGCTGCCCAGGGATCCATTGGATGCCAATTTCTCCCCAGGCCCTAGCCTGCCCTTCAAAAGAGTGCTCTCCAAGGTGCTAATTTGGGTCTGCAAAAAGTGGACCAACAGCTGGAGCAGAGGCACGGCTTTCTGCCCATGGCCGTCAGGTCCACTCGTTTCAGTGGAAGCCTTCAGTGGGTCATGATTTTGGCAGGCAGGGCATTGAGCCGTGGGCGTTGCTGGACTCCAGCTCCCATCAGCCAGCAAAGGCAACAGTCAGGAAGCTTGGGATCTGCGGAGCAAGGAGACTTAGTGGCATTCAAAAAGGAGCGGCCTCCCTCACCAGAAGGTTGTTCTCCTTCTTCAGGCTGGCACAGCGGGACTGCAGCTCCTCCAGGGCTGTGAGGAGGACCTGATTCTGGCGCAAGAGGCAGCGATAGGTCACCCCATACTGGAAAAGAAAAGGGCGGAAAGAGAAAGAATCTGTCACCTACACAGAAACAGGTTATGTGGGTTGGACAGTTGTCTTTTGTCCAGGAGCCCCACCCACTTCTGTTAGCCCCACCCACTTCTGTTAGCCCCACCCCTTGACTCCTCCCCCAGATCCCCAGTCAATAAACAGCAACCTCTTATGTTGCCTTAATGACAACAAGAAGCAGCGGAACAATAGATTACTCCGATAAAATTAGTAATAATAATCATATGCCATCAAGACAATTCTGACTTATGGAGACCCTTTCCAGGGTTTTCTAGGCAGAGAATGCAAGGAAGTGGTTCCCTGTCCCCTTCTTCTTGAGGGGGCGCCCAGGGACTATGCCCAGCTAGCCCAAGGCCACCCAGGTTGGCTGTTCTCCTACAGAAGCGGTTCCCTGTCCCCTTCTTCTTGAGGGGGCGCCCGGCGACTATGTCCAGCTGGCCCAAGGCTACCCAGGTTGTCTGTTCTACAAGGCACCATGGGGGAATTGAACTCCTAACCAGATCCCTAACTCACTGAGCTATCCAGCATGATGTGCCATCAAGTCAGAACTGACTTAGAGCCATCTTAACAGGGCTTTGAAGGCAAATGAGATATTTAAAAAGAGGTTTTTAACTGTTCCGAACCAAACCCCCAGTGAGCTTCTATTACTGAGCGGGGATTTGAACCCAGGCCTCTTCAGCCCTAGTCCATTACTCTGTCCACTAAACCACACCGGATACTCATGTCCTCGTTTAATGTCATTTTCGTCCCATAGCTGAGCAGGGATTTGAACCCAGGCCTCCTTAACCCTAGTCCATTATTCTATCCACTACACCGGGTACTCGTGTCCTGGTTTAATTTTCGTCCCATAGTTGAAGAGGCAAACTACTTCTAAAAAGGTGTGGTTGAAATTTTGGCTGAAACAAGCAAAGGGGGAAGACCTCTTCATCTTTAAATCGTTAAAATCTTTGGTGGATGAGGAGCTCTCGAGAACTCAAAACCTTGGGGGTGGTAGGTGGACATAATCTGAAAATCACTTCCTTGCACTGTACGTATGATGACCTATCTTGTTTAACACAGAGACGTTCCCCACATTTTTCTGTCCTTCCCCAAAACGTGATTTATTTTTAGTCTCACTTTGTTCCCCGGAGTCAAGTTTAGCGCTGGCACTTTGCGCTCAACTTCATATCCGTGGTCAGAGCCTCCTGGCACTCGAGCTAATGGGGTCCTTTTTAAGGAGACAGGCAGAATAAAAATATTTTAAATAACTAAAAACATTTCAGAAGAGAAGCTCCAGTAGGGAAGTGGATTTCTGCAATGCTTCCAGTTTTTTTTTTTCCAAAACAGATCCCCCAGAGAGAGGAATAGTCATTTTTCCAAAGTCGAGAAGCATCTGTACCCTTTTGAGGCCAAACGAGATGAAGATATCGTAATGTAGCAAACCCAAATTCACGACTCCCAATAAGCACAAAACCGGAATCTCCCTCTTTCACTGCTGAAAAATACTCTAGTACCAGAAGTAACGATAGATCTTTGCCAGCGCAGGAGAAGATGCTGAAAAACTGCCAACTCGCACTCGTGACAGCTGCCGGTTTGCATTTTTGTTAAACGGGCAAGGAGCGTTCGCGTCGCCACCGACAAGCGCTTTCCGAACGTCGTTCTGTTCAAGGTCAAACCTCACCGAGCGGGGACTAATTGATGCTGGCTTCTACGACAGCGTGGGCCATTTGATTCCGGAAAAGCAGTGACACCCAAAGGCGTCTAGAGGATAATGACTCAAAGAGACACCCATTCAGCCCCATAAATGTGGGGCAAACATTTAACAAGGGGGTCAAGATCACCTTTAGAAGTAGAACATTCAGAAGGCAGCGGATTTATCTAGGTCTCTCTCTCAACCTGATGTTTAAAAAAAAGAACCCAGATTCCTTATTTTTGGCCTCAAATGGACAACTATTTAGGTCAGAACGTGCCAACAAAACAACGGATAGCTCATGTAGAGTTCGGCTAGAAACCCGGCATGGAGGTGTCACGAGAACTAAATCCGTCACAAGCCTCCACTGCTTCCAGATGGTGTTGAACTCCATCTCCCATCATTTGCAGGTCCAGCCAGCCTACTCACTAGGTGGGGGCAGATGGGAGATGGAGTTCAACATGGGCTCTGTGTCCCTTAGTCCAGCTTTAAAGAGAACACTTCTGCCAGGTTCCCCTGTTTGGGTCTCTCGAAATATATTAATATATATATTAGTTTTCTCTAGGCATTCTTCAAATGTTGTTGAGCAGCCTCACACCATTAGGTTGAGAGAGTTCATATCACACACAATATTTTCATAAAATACATGCCCTTTTTTGCATGCACTTCCTGGTGTGTATATTTCTGGGAGCAGTTATGAAAGCCAGGCTGGGCAAAGGTCAGCTGCTCAGAGAAGACCAGATTCTGGGCTGTTTAGAGGCAGTGGCATCAGCCTAAGATGCTCCAGAGTCCCTCATTTGGTCCATTTCAGAATAAAGGATGTGCACATTTTTCCAATGTGTGCATTTTTTGGGATTCCCTTTTCTGGATGTGCCTGTCAATTCTCTAAATCCCGCAGCGAGCTAAGAAACAAAGGGGTATTCTCTCCGAACACCAGCCACCGAGTTTGCAACACAGGCGGTTCTGCATTTTCTACATCAGCAGCGGGGTCAGACTAGATGACCTGTAGGTTCCCTTCCAATTCTATAGTACAATCAGTTATATATATATATTATGGTTAGCGTAGTACAGTAAATCGCACTAGAGGAGGCCCGATCCCTTTGTGAACCCGCTCTGTATGTTCCACGGATCTAAACGGGCCTGCCCTAACTGCGATTTACTTTAGCACAGTAAATCCCCATTCATTCAATGGGCCTCCTCAAATGCTATTTACGAAACGACGCAACAAGATTTTGGTCTAGGATTCTTCCAAGACGAAAGGGTGGGTAAATCTGATTTTCCACCTTCTGGTTTTGTGGATAGTGGTTAAGTGTTGATCAAAAAGAAACTGAATTGAAATAGAACTGCTGGAAAGCTTAGTGGTTTAGAGGCTGGGAGTTTGAATCCCCCCTATATCTCCTTGACTGGGGCTGGACTTTGTGATCCATAGGGTCCCTTCCAGCTCTGCAGTTCAAAGATGATGATGATGATGATGATGATGATGATGATGATGATGATGATGATGATGATGATGATGATGATGATTATTATTATTATTATTATT